CCCCCTTCTAGAACCAGGAGGCTCCTGACCGAAAGGGGCGGAGAGGTATAACGATCCCTCCGTCCCCGCAACCTCGATCGGGAGCGTAGGAGCGGGCCGGCTCCGGACGGGACCGGACCTGGCCAATAGCGCCTCTAGTAGGTGAGGAATGACCGGACGGGGTGGCCCACGTCCGGTCATGGAGGATAGGTCAGACGGACCGGGGAAACACGTTTTCCCGGCCCGGGATTGGGAGCGGAGGGTTTAATTCCCCGCCTTGCGGTTGAGGGCATCCCGGAAGTAATGCGCAAGCGGTTCTCGGGACACCCTCGCAATGGCCGCAAGGGGCCCGGCAGAAATTTTAGTGGGTAGGCCCGCCCGGACGGTAAGCTCCAGGGGAGGGAGTCCCACACTACCTTTGGGAAAATCACGTATTTCCCGGGAGTGTGCGAAAAGCATTTCCTCTGCATAAACAAAAAAAATGTCAACAGTAACATCGCCAAGTCTAGGTAATACAGATAATAACAGATTTATATATACAAGCATTAACATTGTGGCGACAATTCGTGGAAAAGAAGGAAACAAACTCCCCTCCCCGCATCCACAATCTTGCCGTGGTGGGGGGCTCCGGCGATCCGATGAAGGCTCGGCGGCAGTTCCTTTCGGCTTTGGCCGGAGGGGAGGCCCCTACCTGTGGACCGCTGGCTAAGAGTGGACAGGGTAGCGTAGGGACGGGAAGAACCCTTGAGGTTTACACCGGTGGACCATGTGTGTCATGCCGGGCGGCCCAGGGAAGAGTAGGGGGTGTTCGCGCGAGGTAGAGTCGCTATGTAAAGTGGACCGCGCCTGCGGGGCTGGCTGTCACCGCGGTTTTGGCCGCGTTCCCAGGCGGCGTCGCCCGCGGCGCCTGGGGGAAAGAGCATTGGTCTGGCGCTTTCTGGTGATCCTGTCCGAAGGACGGGCAACACGGGCGCATGGTGGCTAGTGATAGTCGGCAACGGAGGGCGTGCCGATGATCCGTTATGGCAACGCCGGAGATCCATACCCCTTGATCCGTTAGGCTAAAGTCCCTGTGCGCCTAGATCCCGTGTTCGATGAAGGCGCACCGAAGGGTGTTGCCGGAACGGCCGATGGGCGTAACGCTGGGGGCGCTGGTTGCCGGTGTCCGGAACCTTGTGCGGGGGGGGGGGCG